GTACTTTTTGTCTCACACATGTGTTTATTTATTTATGTAATTGTATAGCTAAAATTTTCAAGTCAGACCCACATATCACAGAATGAATATTACATGGAATTCAGAAAACAGTAGATACTTTGGCACTTTTTATCTATGACATACCTGTTATGCAAAGAGGTTCTAAAGAATTATAAATAACATACCCAACAATGCCAGTGTTAAGCAGTAGCCATGATCTCTGTACCTGTCTTGCTCTACCAAAGGACCATCAACCTAATGCCTACAATTAGGGAAGAGAATGGCTGCTTAATTGGAGGTTAATCACCAAGAGATTAATGAAGATTCTAAGTCATGGTGACAATATCATGAAAGTAATTTGGTATCCATATCACAACAAATCCTTGTGGTTGGATTTCAAGTCATAGTAGCCTGTCTGCTCAGAATATGGCAATGGAGATTTAAGTCATTATGATTGGCTTATATATTTGTAACATAGATGTTCAGAAAGGGAAATATCTTAGAATTAGTATATTTATCAATTCAGTGTACTGTTTATCTCTGATCACGTGACAGTCTGATACTGAAAAGTAACTAGAGCAGATGTACATATGTAAGTTATTATGAAAACAATTGATAAAGATTTAACAAAACTGCTTAAGTATAATTCCTGATGAATCTGGTATGAATCTAGATTGCTTAACGGATTTTGACCAACTCTAACAATGACATACATCCCTGACAGATTATAGTACATTAAGTATGCAAACAAGATTACAAGGAAAATATAAAAGATATTCTTATAAGGTCTGTGTTGTCTAACAGGTTTAGTATCAGTGGATTACTTGTAATATATCTTTCTATCTTTCTTTCTCTGTTTGTGGACATGGCGACCATGGCTTATATAGTGAGTGATAGATGTCTAATGATTGTGAGAGTTGTTCTATCACTGATGCAACGTGCTGAATCTGAGACTGAGTCATTTTTACTTAAGCAAATGTTTATGTTTTAAAACAGAAAAAACAGCACCTTCATGTTTGTCTGTAAATAACAACGTTACAATGATCCTTAAATCAACTGGTCAGTCTTTGGTCATTAGACTGCAGGACTGCCATGTATTAGATGATTTGTAAAAGAAGTAATAGAAAAGATTTGCATAAATATTATATATATGATATATAGTACTACACATCTGCACACTCACTCATAGACCTATACACTCACATACACAACTATCAAGTGGTGTCTCTCTAGACCCTTTTTATGTTACTTTAGGATGATGGAGAGCTGTATTTCTCAGTTTATGAAAAATGTAATTTGTTATTACAAATTTCTCAGTGATGATAATGTAATCTAACCCTGTACTTCTGCATTGCATTCAGACCCAGAGTGATGAAATTTCAAAATGGGGTTATTTTATGATACTATTGATTGTTTATGTACATGAAAAGCTACAATAATTTTAGGGGCTACATAATTATAATTTTCTTTTTCTTTCTTTCTTTCTTGCTGACTTTCTCCATCATTTTATTCATTTGGTAATTCTTTGCAGTATGGATGCACTCATCAGAGACTAAGTTGCCAACTCCATGTCAAAAAATTTAATCATCACTCTAAGTTGCCGTGACTGGTCATGCCTGAGGGGAGGGTTGATTGGGGGCTTTGTCCCCCAACACTCCTAGGGAAATGTTGTCTTCACCTCAGTATGCACAGCAAGATAGAGCTGAAACTCGGGAGCACCGGGTGGACTTAGGCTGAGAGCAGTGCTTTCCGCAATCTTTTACCATTATTTGTGGCGTAACCATTTGTGCCTGAAAATGATTTCTTGTACTGACGACTGCATCTTTTTGTCAGCTACAGAAATATATTCAATTTGCCCTAACTTAGATAACCATTTCATTATTTTTTCCTCGGGAAGAACATCTTTATCATTCTCTATTACTTCCAAATGTGTCTGACTGTTATTCAAGATAGTATTATATGTAGAAATACCATTACTTCAAGAATACATCGCCATGTTACTTTTTTCCATGACTTTGTATATTTGTATTGTTTTAACCTATTGCTGCCACTGTAGTTTTACTTTTAGAACCATTACACATAGATTGCCCCACAAGTGCTCAACCACTAAGGCCTACGTGACCTCACCTGGATTTTTCAGTTAAAGATTGTTTTTCCTAATGCTTTTTATATGGATAAGACTTATTGTTATTATAGTGTTATTAATAAATTAGTATTAAAAAAAGAAAAGGGTATTATAGAAAAGAAGAATAGTAAACAGGTAAGACAGGTAGAGACATCTGTGGAGACATTTATGAGTAAAGAAAATTTAATATACTAAAGACACATTGGGGATGGCTTGTATTTTTGCCATCCCACCATCATTAACCCAATGGATTTGGATGCTTCACTGCCATCACACGGCCCAAAATATGGACATTAGGTTTACTTGATTGGCCACTCCGACAGGTGCACGGCTTGTAGGCCAGGCACACTCAAACACTCATGTGCAGTGACAAGACTTATGCCTCAACTTTGCAATACTATTTCCTCTTTTTCTACACAGATGCTTTTAGCACTTGGAAAAATGTTCATATTTGTTATTTAATTTGTTTAACCATATGTTAATAGACTGTTCTTCTTGCATATATTCCATATTATATCTCTAGGTAATCTATAACTCAGTGCAAGAATGATATCAAAAAGTAAGATTTTTTTTTTTCTTCTTAATATGAATGTTTTCTATAATACAACCTGTGCTGAAAGTTATAACGGCCAGGAATAGGATCCTGAGCATGGAAATAGTATCCTCTTTGGAGCTAACATTATTCCAGTCATGGCTCATGGATAGTACATTCCACACTCATACATTCCACACTCATTCAATGGAAATAATGCAAAAGCCCTTCCTAAATGTTCAATGGAAATGATGCAAAAAACCCTTCCTAAATGCCAAATGAGTTTAATCATCCTCTAAGAATTTTGTTCTCGTGTGGTGAGTCTTTCCTGTCACCTCAGCCTTCAGCTGAAATGCTCACAGTGGCAAGTTTGCCTAGCCTAGAGCCAAATTTTCCCATGAAGGCATGTTCACATCACCCACCCCTCAAGCTAAATTTTTTCGTGACACGAGGGTCACCTCATCCAGACCATATGGATTGATGAAGCAAAATCATAGTGGACTTGGCATGTACATCCATGCCATTCCTGTCAGCAGTGGGTTAATTGAATGAGACTAACTAGTTCTAAACATTTGAAACTTAGAATAAAAGTTGTATCATAAGATTCAAGACAGTATTATTGTTACTACACATGGAGATGAGTTGCACATGGGTAATGATAAGTTGCACATAAGGTGTGTACAGGACTTTTGACGTTTTCTGTTCATTTATTGCTTATATTTTTATTTATTATTTATTATTTGCTTTAGTAAATGTTATATTTTGTTATTATTTTCGGAGGGTGGAGGGGTTTTCATGAGGAATAGAAAAAACAAGGAGAGGTGTGAAAATTATAGCAAGGGGGATTTGAGTAAATTCATATTAGTTTTTAGATCCATTCATCGTTTTCTTTTTTGTATATCTGTGAAAAATCATTCTGATATGAAAGGAAGAAAGAAGTAAACGGCTTCCTGTGATTAAGAGACTCCTCTGCCTTCTCCTTTATTTCTTACATAATAGAAACTTGATAAAGAAGAGAATTGCTGTATTGAGATATAGAATAGGTGTACAGAAATAGAGAATAGGCCTACAGGGATAGAGAATATGTCTACAGAAATAGAGAATAGGGTTAGTGGGATAGATATTAGGTCTACAAAAATAGAGAATAGGTATACTGAGATGGAGAATAGGTATACTGAGATAGAGAATAGATATACAGAAATAGAGAATAGGTCTACTGATGTAAATAATAGGTGTACTGAAATAATGAATAGACATAATAGGTTGACAGAAATAGAGGATAAGTGTACTGAGATGAAGAATGGTTCTACTGACATAAAGAATAGCTCTACAGAAATAAAGAATAAGTCTACTGATACAAAGAATAGGTCTACATATATGAAATATAGGTCCACTGATATAAAGAATGGGTCTAATGAAATAGAGAATAGATCTACTGATATAAAGAATAGCTCTACAGAAATAGATTAGCTCTACTGATATAAAGAATAAGAATACAGAAATAATGAATGGGTCTACCGAGACAGCATTGGGATACAGAAATACAGAAAAGGTCTACTAAAATAGAGAATTGGTCTACAGAAATGTACTGATATAAAGAATGGGTGTACTGAAATAATGGATAGGTCTACTGAGACAGAATAGGTATACAGAAATAGACAGTAAGTCTACTGAGATAGAGAATGGGTCTACTGAGGTGGAGAAAGGCTGTATTGAGATAAAGAATAGGTATTGAGAAAAGAGGATAGGTTTCCTAAGATAAAGAAAGGGTCTAATGAGGTAAAGGATAGGTCTCCTGAGATGAAAAATAGGTCTACTTAGAGGAAGAATAGGTCTATTTAGATGAATAATAAAAAGGTCTGAGGCAAAGAATAGCGACAATGAGATAACGAAGAGGACTAAGACAAAGTATAAATCCCCCAAAAATTGACAAGAACATGAGAAGGGAATATGTCACTGTTTTAGTAATTTGAATAGACTTTACATTCAAGAGCATCAAATTGGACTTAACATTTTAATATTTGTAACAAGCATATAGCGTACAATAGATGTTGATATTTGACTGGAAAAACATAGGCCCTGCTTTAAAGAAAATCAGTTTAGGAGCGGACATTTCAGTTGAACAACTAAAATTTATATATCATTGACAATGTATTTCACATTGTATTGAAAATCAGGGGTTTTGTTTATTTCTTTATTGTTATTTGTTATAATTAATTTTATTTTTTTATAAGGCCTTTATTAATGTGAAAAGAAACTAGAATAGTTATATCTTATGTAATGCATCCCAATTTGAGTCTCCACGCATAATTGAATCAGCAAAAATTACACCCCCTCTTATTTCCTTATTAACCACTGATGGCGGATAAGAAAAATAAAAGGAGAGGAAAACATGCAATGGCAACTAACACCAGAAGCACAAGTGGTACCAATGGTAACCCACGACAGCGGACCCCCCAGAACAGGGGGGATAGCCCAGCCGATGACAGTAGCCGAAAAGATGGTGAGTGTGTGATGTCAAAATATGGATCCTTTAACCAGATTTTGACCAAATCACATGTAACATCCTTTCTGAAATGTGAATCTTAGCTTTCAAAATTTGTAATGTAAATGCCTTTTAGCATATATATGATATATATATATATATATATATATATATATATATATATATATATATATATATATTAATATATATAATTTATAGTTTTAGGTCTTGCATAATTAGTTTTTTTTTTTTTATCTGACAGGTACTGAGTATAGGAAAAGAATAGCAATGATAGATGAGTTATTTTGAGATGGTTTGATGGGTCACTCTCTTGTAGAAATTCTAATAATAGCCAATAAGGGGGTAATATGGCTTTTCAGTGTATTTTTAAATGTTAAGAAAATTGTCGAAATGAAAAAAGGGAGCTGTTTTAGAATTGGGTTGTCAGTTCAGTAATTAGATGCATGAAAGTTTTAATATTTAATTCACCTTGTTGAGCAGAAGAATAGAGAGATATTTTGTTTATTTGTGTAAAGAAAGAGGTAGGAAGTTTTTTTGCTTTTTTTATTTGCTGCTGTTGGGGGATTTGCAGCCTATAATAAGATTGTTGATAAAGGATACTATTAGAGTAGTTTCTGGTAGGCATTTAACTTGTTGGATTCCCAATGATAACAGAGATTAGCCCAGATCTTTATTTGGAGGAAATGAGTTTTGTTTGGAGAGTGGGAATTATATCGATTAGAAGTTGTTTATTCTCTGATTTAGGATAAAAGACAACAGAATGAGCGACGCTGCCTTATTAGTTATCGAAAGATGTGAGGAGGAGGGAAGTATTAACGAGTCTGTTGTCAGTCTGCCATACACTTTCCTGCATGTTATATTTCGAGGCTCGCCCTCTTTGCGTTGTTAGGATTGAATTAATGCCTTATGGAATTCCCCCTCCAGCTAGAACCTGCTCTCTTTATTTTTCTGTTGCATTTTTACATGTTTTGCTCGATCTATCTTTTGTAATGTTATGAAGTTTTATTTGTACTGGATTGATTTATAGCCTCTCTCACTACTCGATGACCACCTAAATACCTGCTCTCTTTTAGGCCTTAATGCTAACTTATGCCCATTCTTAAACATACAGAGCTAATCTTACACCATAGATCTCACTTTTTTTTCCCTTCTCTCTATTTTTTCAAACTCTTTCCCACTTCCACCACCCTGTAACCCCCTACCTCCTGCTCCCCCGGACTTATGCTTAAACTCACCTCCGATTCGACCTCTTCCTTTCCCTCTCTTTTCCCCAGCTGAATCATTTTCAATCATTTTCAGCTCTCTCCTGCGCCCCCACCCCTAATGCTGCTATGAGCACACCAATACATTCCTCTCTCTTTTTCACCTGTTCCTCCTTCTTCACACCCTTCCCTTACCCAAAACTTCTCGAAACACTTACAGAACGCTCTCTCGACACTCTTCCCACACCCCTTACACTGTCAATGCAACCCCACTACTCATCTCTGCCCAAACCCTTACCGGCACCTCAATCGTATCTACACGTACCTCTGCTCTTTCCTCCGCTACATTCAGTTACACAGGACTCCCCCCTCCGGCGCCCCCTCATATGTGGCGCGCCCTATTGCATATGCACTTCGCCTATCGTTAAGCGCTCTGGAACTCAGACTGTTATTCTACTTACGCTCTTAATCGTGTGTGTGTCGCGCATTCGTCTCGTCTCTCCTACTAGCACTACACTTTCACCGTATCAGTTGTTACGTCGCATGTCTCCCCAAAGCTCTCTCTCTCTATCCTTCGTTCGCCGTACTCTCATTCCTAGACTACCAGCTACTCCTCCATAGAACTTACATATACTACTGCCCCGCGTACTACCCATCACTTATATCTACTGACACCTTAGACAATCATCTACTACTCGCATGCGTACTGGCCTTATATGATGCACTCTCTCTCTACCGTCATAGTACTATACATATTATATGTATCCCCCCCCGCCTCCTATATACACGTATCATATGCTACCTCATGTATATTACACGTCGCCTGCACTACCTATACTCCCTAACTATATCTCTCACCGCCTATATCATGTATATATATATTATACGCGGTATATATGCCCCTATATATATAACACGTGACTATAATGTACTACTATATCACGTATATGTGGTATATAATACTCCGTATATCTGTGCCCCACCCCTCCTAGTAGTATGTATTATCCACCACTCCTATAATTACTACAATTTATATTTACATTGAGCTATACATACATACATAATACATATAATCGATTACATACACAACTACTCCTTGTCGTAATGTATATATATACCCTATAATAGTTATATA